AGAGCAGGGTAAGGCTGGCTCCCAGAGTCAAGGATTGGAGTGACCTAGCAGATCACCTGTCCAGATAATACCAGGGGAACATCACAGTGAGCATTAATGGCAAGACGAGAAGGTTCTGCTGAGGCAATCTGCTAGTACAGTTCTAGTCCCCGGAAGATGCACGGCCACGTGATGAATGGCATGCTGCACACAGAAGTCCCAGAGCCAGAGAGCTTACTGGCAAAGGGCCGACGACCTGGCTCTGCCTTGCTTGTTGATATAAAACATCATGGTGGTGTTGTCCATCAGGACTTGTATCACTTTGCCTTTCAAGTGGGACCGGAAAGCCTGGCAGGCCAACCGATCCACTCTGAGCTCCCTGACATTTATGTGGAGGGAGTGATCGTCCCGCAACCAGCGGCCTTGCATACTGAGCTCGCCCAGATGGGCTCCTCAACCCAGGTCTGAGGCGTTGGAAACCAGGGTCAGCAACAGGGATGGGACTGCGATGGGAACTCCCTCCAACACTGACCTGGGGTCCAACCACCATTCCAGTGATGACCGGATGTGGTCCGGTACTCTGACTGCCAGGTCCAGATTGTGCTTGTTTGGGATATAGACAGGTCATGTAGACCGATGCCAGTCACGCTTGCAGAGGTTGGAGATGGAGCCGGGCAGGACAGATCATGTAAGTGCAAGCTGCCATGTGCCTAATAACCTCAGGCAGGTGTGTGACATGGTGAGCAGATGGCCTTTTATACGAGCGATCAAGTCCAACGTGGCTTGAAAATGGGCCTCCAAAAGGAAGGCTCTGGCCTGCATAGAGTCGAAGACTACCCCTATGAATTCTATTCGTTGCACTGGTATGAGGGTCGATTTCTTTTTGTTTACTAATAGGCCAAGGTCATGACAGGTAGAACGCACCAGATCAAGATTCCTCTGGACTTGATCCCGCGATCTGCCTTTGATGAGCCAATTGTCGAGATAAGGATAGACCTGGACCCCTTGATGTTTCCGCGGGGGGGACGAGAGACCAAAGGGCAGCACCTTAAATTGAAAGTGGTGCAGGCCCACCATAAAACAAAGGAACCATCTGTGTCCATGGAAGATGGAAATATGAAAATAAGCGTCCTTGAGATCGAGAGCGGTGTACCAGTCTCCTGGATCCAGGGAGGGGTGATGGAGGCCAGGAAGACCATGCAAAACTTCAACTTCTTGAGATATTTGGTGAGTCGCTGCAAGTCCAGAATGGGTCTTAGGCCCCCTTTTGCTTTCGGGATTAGAAAGCAGCAGGAGTAGAACCCTTTCCCCCTCATTTCCCGAGGGACCTCTTCCACCGCCCCCAGCTGCAGGTGGTTTTCGACCTCCTGAACAAGGAGTTGCTCATCAGAAGGGTCCCTGAAGAGGGACAGGGAAAGGGGATGGGTGGGGGGCATAGTGGAGAATTGCAGGATGTAGCCCAGAGATATGATTTCTAACACCCAGAGGTCTGATGTGACCCGCAACCAGGCCGGTTGGAAGGGACGTAAATAGTTGAGAAAGGCATAAGGTGGATGCACAGTGACAGGGGCATCGCTCTCGAGTGCACCATCAAAAAGAGTGTTTCTAGCCCCCCAGGTGTTTTGCCAGGCCATGCTGAGCTGGTGAGTGGGAGGTGAAGGGACGGCGACGACTGAAACTTGCGTCTCTGTCCTTTCTCCTAGCGGAGCCCTGCAGAGGCGGCCACGAGGTGGGGAGTGGCCTGAATTGTTTCCTCGACAACTGCAGAGTATGCATGCCCAGCTAAAGGAGTGTGGCCCGCGTGTCTTTGAGCCCATTCAGCCTCACATCCGTCTGCTCTGCAAAGAGTCCATTCCCATCAAACAGAGGTCCTGGATGGAGGACTGCATTTCCTGGGACAGGCCTGCAGTTTGAAGCCATGAACTGCGCCTCACAACTACTGCCGACGCGACCACCCTGGCCGCCGAATCGGCTGCATCCCAGGCCATCTGGAGGGAACATCTAGCCACTGTCGTACCTTCCTCTACTACTACTACAAACTCTTGGGACAAGTCCTGGGGCAGAGAGTCCTTAAATTTCCTGAGGGAGTCCCACAGATTAAAGTTATATCTCCCCACTAGCTCCTGGTGGTTCCTTCTGGGTTCTCAGATGACAGTTTTTACAAATCCGACACTTGTCCTTCACGTGTGATTCCCCCAAGCACTTCAGGCAGCTGCTATGGGTGTCACTCACAGGCATAGGCCTGTTGCAGGCAGAACAGCACTTAAAACCTGGAGACCGGGGCATGCCCTGCCTGGGGCAAAGTCCCCGCTGGGACTCTAACTCACTAACTACACTATTTAACAACAACTTGTTAACTAACTGTAAACAAACTATTTACAGGGCATTGAGAAACGAAGACGGGAAGAACTGCTATCCACTTGCCAGGCAAGGGGAAGGTGCTCCGACCAACCGTCACGGGCGGTCAGAAGGAACTGAGAGGGTGTAGGGCCGGTGGTGCCTGATGTACCGGTGCATGAGAGCGGCACTCCAGAGGGCGCCACAACTAACCCTACGGATACCGCTAAGGCAAAAAATCTCTGACAACTGTGCATGTGAGCGCGCACACACTGAGAATGGAATCAACATGAGCAAGCACTCGAAGAATGGTATTTTCAGAGTGGATGGGAATCCAGCAGAGGTATTGGAATCACACTGATACTGTCACTCTCGAGAGCTCTATCCTACAGTATACTACCTCCCTTTTTGGCCACTGTTCTGCACTGTGTCCCTCCTTCCCAGGCTTTCCATGAGGCAATTTGACAGGAAGTCACTCACTGCTATTAAATGCCTCGCACTTGCACTAGGCGACAATAGTGCATACATGGTGACTAACATCCATATCTAAGAGACTGTGCATTATTTCTTGATGATTTGATTCCAAACTGACCTCGGCAACATTTTTAATCAGCACACTTACACCCCTAACAGAGTGCACCATCTCAAACCAATGTTCAGTGTAACCAGAGCTGTAACTATACATTTCAGCGCCCAGGGTGAGCAACCATATTTGCACCCCCTAGGCGACGCATGGGGGGACACCAGGACCGGCTCCAGGGTTTTTGCCGCCCCAAGCGGCGGAAAAAAAAATAAAAAAAAAGCCGCGATGGCAATTGCTATCGGCACTCCAGCGGTGGCTCCACCGCGCTGCTTTCTTCTTCGGCGGGAATTCGGCGGCAAGTGCTTCCCTCCAAGAGGGACCCGCTGCCGAACAGCCCGATGTGCTGTCCCTTCCCCTTGGCTGCCCCAAGCACCTGCTTGCTGGGCTGGTGCCTGGAGCCGGCCCTGGGGGACACGCAGGGTCACGTGCCCCACAGGATGGGTGGCCCGTTGAGGTGAGTCAGGAGGTGAAGGTGGCATTCCCACCCCGAGCCTCACCATGCAGGGCTAGCCCCACCGAGTCCCGTTGTGGCTGGTGTCGACGGCCTGAGTCGCCCCCTGGCTTTGCGCTTTAGGTGGCTGCCCCACTTGCCCCACCGTGGTTACAGCTCTGAGTGTAACCAGTAAAATATCACACAGGACCTTTGTGGAAATCAGTATATTTCATTACAACCTTTTATTCATGAGCAAAGAACAGAAATGGAGGCAGATATTTTTGATATATTTTCAAAGATTTCAAACAAGCTAACGCAGAGCAACTAACCAGCTAAGACATAGTGAGACTGTTACTGTGGACATGCACATAGCAAAAAGGAACTAATCTTATGTTTAAAAAGAGTTATTAAAACCTTCTATGACCTTGTCTAGAATAGAGAGAAAGGTGTTTTTAAAATTATATTCGCTAACAGGATTTGAAGGATAGCCACTGCTTCACACCTTATACATTATGTGGTAACCTAGGTTACAATATGACCAGCTATTGGAATCTGAAAGATGTTAAGCAGCGGCTACATTAAGTTCAAATCATTCTTCTCTATTATTTATATTACACTGGTGCCCAAAGGTTCAAATCAAGATCAGGGCCCTACCATGCCAGGCACTATATAGACCCATAACAAGAGACAGTCCCTGCCCCAAAGAATGAACCATCTAAACAGACAATGGGTGAGAGAAGACACAGGGACACAGAGAGGAGATGTGACTTGCCCAAGGTCACACAGCATGTCAGTGGCACAGTTGGGAAGAGAACCCAGGTCTCAGATCAAGGCCCTGTCCACTAGACCCTACTGCCTCTTAAGTTAGCTAACTCAATTTAAAAATAACTCTAACCACCTTTTTAGCTCTTCTAGAGAAGGCCTAAATGGGACACACTTATTTTGAGTAGCAATAAACCACTGGTGACATCAAACTGCTCACTTTGGTCAGGACAAAGTCATGGGCTGTCAAGCGCATAGCCTGAAAAACTGGGTGAGGCTCTGATGAATTCTATAGGAGCTGGGGGGCAAGGAGGGATTCTGCTCTATTCTATTCAGGTACTTATGCCGTGTCTATCACCATGGTATCTAAGTGCCTAAGGGAGGGGGGGAGGGAAGGAAAAAGTAATTCTCTCACCAAGATTGTGGAAGAGCTACAGAGCTGGGTTGCAGCAACCCCTGAAGCTATTGTGCTCCTACTCTGTGGGGAGAATGGCCAGTGGACCCCTCCCCTAGTCTCCCTGGGAGGGGTGCAAGGAGGTTCCCTGTGTGCATTCCACAAATTCTCCTCTCACCCCAATGCAGTCGAATTAGTCAGAGCTCACCATGCCCACAGAAGGTTCTGGAGAGCAGAATTTGTCCCATAATGACAAATAGCTGATGTTTGCCTGTTCCTGGACCCCAGCAAATGCAAGCGCTGCTGAGGCTACATATCTCCAAGCAAGATTATAAAATGTATAATTTTAAAAACTATTGTGTGCCCGTCTATTATACAGTATTAATAATGTTGATGCTAGCTAGTATTAAAGAGACAAGGTATGTGAGGTAATATCTTTTATTGGACCAACTTCTGTTGGTGAGAGAGAAGTTTTTTGCGCTTACACAGAGCTCTTCTTCAGGTCTCTCTCACCAACAGAAGTTGGTCCAATAAAAGATATTATATCACTCACTCACCTTGTCTCACTAATATCCTGGGACTGACAGGGCTACAACAAATCTGCATAAGCTAGTATTAAAGCATTTAGAATAATCATATAAAAAGTTTTTCATGCATTAGTTTCTTACGCAGTTCCTGTCACTAATTAATAATGTAATGACAATTGGATTACATTTTGAATCACCCTCTGCATTCGCACATGGGCAAAAATCATTGCTTGCATATTGAGTCACCTGTTCTGCAAATACAGATTTTTGCCTGTGGAAATGGAAGCACCCACTTTTGTGGAGATATGCCGATAATTTGCCCTTGTGTATTACAGAGGATGCAACTCAGTTGGATTTCATTTGTTTTTTCAACTTGGCAAGACCCATAAGACATTCATCTCTCCATGCTCTCCTGGCATTTAGATGTTCTGGATCAGCTGGAGTTTTTTCACTCATGGCCTGAAATAAAGAAAATAGAAGATTAAACCTCATGTTGAATGTTGGAAATTTCTTACCAAAGATTGTTTTTGACGGTTTTCTCCCCTCTTCTGGTTAACATTCATGCTGGTAATTGTCATATGGGTTCTGATTCTGTTGACGACAGACAGTAGGGTCACAAGGACCACTAGTTGCCTGTTTAAATCCCTTGCCTGTTTAAGGCCAACATGCTTCTTTTCCATGGAAAGGAGGATACCATTAATTCATACCTTTTTTCTTTTTGCAGGCTGTCTGATCCACTAGTTAGAAGTTAGTTAATCTCTATGGTGTACAGTGAGGATCTGTACTTGGAGGTGGGAGCTCTCACCTTTCACTGTAGTTTGGAGAACATTCTGGCCTAACATTGGTAGTGGTATGTCTACACTAGAAATGCTAGAGTGGCACAGCAGCTGCGCCACCATAGTGCTGTAATGTAAACACTTCTTATGGCGATGGAAGAGGTTCTTCCGTTACTCTAGTAAATCCATCTTGCGGAGAGGTGGCAGTGAGGTTGATGGAGGAATTCGTGTGGTAACCTAGCGCTGTCTACATCTGGGGCTTAGGTTATCTTAACTCCATCTCTCAGGGATTTGACCTTCTCACACCCCTGAGCAACACAGCTAGGTCAACCTAACATTCTAGTGTACACCAGCTCTCACACAGGGCCATGTAAGTCTATCAGCAGCAACTTAGCATTAACCTGTCTGCTTGGTTTGCCCATGAGGCAGCTGTCAAGTCCTTCTGACAAAACTCTTTTATTAACTACGAAGGAGGAGACCCAGCCTTGGCCTTTTAGGCAGCTAGATACGTGCTCTAATCCAAGAACACATGTAGGAGTTTGAAGACTTAATTTTTTTTTACTCCTCATAAACCATGTTTATGAAGGTGTCATTTTTTAGGAGTGCAGCCTTAGAGCGATAAAATTATAAGGTGAGGCACATCCAAGAAATGAAGCTATCACTTTTTGCAAAGGTGGAGTCAGGAGCAGGCTGAAGTTATTCAATGGGTTTCCAGTGCTAGAAACCATGACAAGGTGGCAGGCTGCATCTAGAGGCAAAAAACAACACCTAAAACAACATGCAGGAAAGTGGACCCTAGCATCTGAGTGCAAGGATTAAGGACCTGAAGATCTATATGTTAAATGGATCACTGCAAGAAGAGCAACAGTAGGTAACATGCTCATGCCAGTTGCATGTTACTGACTGATGTGCTCTTAGAGAGGGAAGTATTTCTCAAAGTGCAGAGATAGACCCAAGGCGATTTTTGCCAAAAGGAGCAGCCCATAGTTCAGAACTTTAAAAGATAAACAATGAGCAATATAACAAAAGCTGGATAAAACTTGAGCCCACGTCATTTGCAGCACTGTAATAATAATTCACAAGTTGCAGTTATTCTAGAGCAACACAGGGGGCAGAAAGCAGCATAAAAAGTGTTTAAAGTTTTGCCGTTGGGGAAGGTTCCTTGTAAGCCTAGTTTTGTCAAAGTCTTTGATGGAGCCCAAGGAAAAAGGAGACAGAATCAGCATGAGGCCAAAAGGGAATATCGCACTCCGAAAAGATCACAAAACTCAGTTGCTATGCTTCCATTTATAGAGGCATTAAGAAGGATGATAGATGGAAAGGCATAGTTTGCTATCTATTGTTGTTTCCTGATTTATATTGATTCAGCAATAAACCCATGTGGTGATTTTATATTTGAACTCACACTGGTGGAGAACTCAGATGCAAGACAAACAACCTGGGCCCCAATCCAGCAATGCACATAAGGAGGTGCTTTACTTTAAGCATGTGAGTAATCAAGTTAGCCATGTGTCTAAATGCTTTGCAGATTAGGGGTTTAGTTTGTAGAATATATAAATACAGGAGTAAAAAGAAGAAACTGTTATCAAATATTATTCATAACTTGTCACATAGGTATGCCAACAACCAGACCTCCAAGTTCAGCTCATCAGAACAGATAGACAGGAACAAAACATACGAAAGCATATCTCTTACTGTTGTGTACAACCACTAATTGTCTATGAACACTGTGAGATACATCTACACTAGCTTTCAGAGTTCTACCAAGGCATAGTGAAAAGCTTATAATAATGCTACATAGCTCTTAGATAGCATTTAAGGGTAAGCATGTCAGGGTAGTTAAGCACCGGAACAAATTACCTAGAGAGGTTGTGGAATCTCCATTATTGGAGGTTTTTATGAACATATTAGACAAACACCTGTGAGGGATGGTCCAGAGATAATACTTAGGCCTGCTTCAGTGCAGGGGGCTAGACCAGATGACCTATCTAGGTCCCTTCTAGTCCTAAATTTCTATGATTTTTCATCCATAGATCTCAAAGCGCTTTACAAAGGGATTTATGTTATGTCAATTCTATTTTAGCATTTTCAATCAGTCCAAGTGCATACCCTCACTGAGAAATACAGATCAGAGGTACTTCCAAGAGTCACTCAAACAAGTGATCACTGCAAAGAAATTAAAGCCAACATTTGTTATTTTGATGGTCCTTATGAAATCACATCAATCCAGGCTTGTTCACTCACCTGGCTGATTTGCTGCTCAATTTCACCTGAAAAATCTGGTACTGGCCCAAAGGTTTTCAGAACATGTATCATTCCTTCACGGTATCTCTCACAATAATTTGTCATTCCTAAAACAGGAGTGAAAAAATGTATTTGGTTTGTTCCAAAATAGAAATTCCCACAGTTTATTTCAATAATATAACCTTGTGCTTAAGGGCTGTCCTGAATAGATATAAAGTACTTTCAGCACTAGTAGTTTATGAGGCTGTTGCCTGTAGGACCACGGTGTCATTTGCTACAGAAGTTGACAGGTAAGTACGTAGTGAAGGAAACAGGAGAGAACTGCTGTACAGTCTTTGCTGTTGCAGTTGAATTGGTTACCAGTAGCTTGTGGATTTCTACAATGTGATTTGCAAAGCTGGAGTTTCAGGAGTAAGTTGGTGGGGGGAGGTTCGGCAGATTGGGGCAAAGCATGGCAATGAGCCATGAGACAGAGAGACACTGCCACTGGGGAGAGGGGTTGGGAAACAGTGACACTGGACAAAGACAGTCTCATGGTTAGGACTTTTGAAAGCCACCCAGGAGAACTGGATTCTATCCCAGCCACTCTCACTAAATTCCTATATAATGCTGGGCAAGTAACTTAGGCTATGTTTTTAGTTTTCACTGCAAAAAAAAGACTATTTTTATACTGAGATAGCTAACTTGAGATGTCTCCACTAGGACTGCACATCGAGAGAGCTAAGGCACTGTAATTTCTACCTCGAGGTAGTTAGTTAAGGTCAACCCTATACCGCCTGCCTCATGAAGGCACTTTACCAAAGGGTGTCCACTACTGGCAGATCAGTTTGCTCCCTTTTCCCAGACACAAACAGGCGAGTGTTTGACTCACAGTGGAGAGATTCATGTGTCCTCCTGTACTCCGGTTATGAAAACCCAGGGAGCTGTGTGGTGTAAACCTGGATATCTATGGTGAAGGTGGAATTGATGCAGGATTGAGGCAGGGGTGTCTGGGAAAGGAATGTCTGACACAGATCTTTAAAACAATTAAAAGGACTTGTACTTTTTTCTTCAGTCACCCCAAAGTGAGATGTTTCACAAAAATATGTATAAACCTGGTTCCTGCCCCAAGAAGCACGGAATCTACAATCAACACAGCACCACGAGTAAGGGTCACAAATAGAGCTGGCCGAAAAGGGGGAACACCTTTCCACAACTCTTTTCATTTTTTTAAAGAAAAGGTTAAATCCCAAAAAGAGAAGAAACATTAAAAACATGAAACTTTTTGCAGAAAGGGATTTTAAGAAAAATTCCATTTCAGGAGAGCCTAAACAGAATTTTTCAGCTTTACTGATCCTACTAAAGTGAGAAATAAATGATTGGCCGACGAGAGGATATTTCATGGCATGATCAGATAACATTAGTACTCAAATCATTCATTAGGTACTGCCATAATAGAGGCACAAAGTTCTTCCTCACCCTAGAGTAGACCATATTAAGTTTGGGAAGCTCTCACCTTTTGCTTGCTTGCCTATGGAGCAAACGTCTAGATCTTGATGAAAACTAGTTCCCTAAATGGTAGCACAAAACACTTCACCATTGAACCAGTGGGCATGACAATACAAATCATCTACACTGTTGAGTGAAATGTATTAATAACTATAGTTGAAACGTATGCTTGTTGAGTATATGAAAGCCACACCCAGCTATATTTTATGAAGCCCAGCAAAGAAAGTGACTATGAATCATTGTTTGTGGTCGATGTTTCTTTTTCATTTTGATATTTAGTGCTTTTTACATTTCACACCCTGTTCACCACAACCCTACCCATCTTGGAGAGATTTCTAAAATGAGCAAGAATGCCTACTAGTGGTAGAAAAATCGTAAGTTTCACCATAAAGTTGAGGGCCATGTGCTGCTCTTAATCTCCATCCAACTCCTGCTGATACCAGTGGAAATCCCCACAGTGGATGGTGGACAGCATGTAACCCTAAAACTGCATATTATTATTTTTACTCTCACACTACACCTCTACCCTGATATAATGCGACCCGATATAACACGAATTTGGATATAACGCGGTAAAGCAGCACTCCGGGGGCGGGGCTGTGCACTCCGGCGGATCAAAGCAAGTTCGATATAACGTGGTTTCACCTATAACGCAGTCAGATTTTTTGGCTCCCGAGGACAGCGTTATATCGGGGTAGAGGTGTATTTAGAAGTCCCTCGTAGTCTCAATATCCAGCACATGTGCTAGAGCACTGCTTCCCAAATGATAGGTCCCGACTCACCAGTAGGTTGCGGGAAGGGTCTAGGTGGGTCACACATGCCCTGGAGCTGCTCTCTACAGCCCCCTTTCCCACTACTCTTACATCCCCTGGGCAGCAGATAGCACTATGGGGAGCGGGATCTGGGTGGCAGCACCAGCAACATGGAGGAAGCGCCTTTGGGACATAGGTGGGACAGGGAGAGAATGCTGACTGTCTGCTCGCTGCTGCCTGGATCCTGCTCTGACTTTCCCTGGGCAATGGGCAGCAGTGCGGAGAATTGGAGCCAGGCAAGGGTAGCAGCAGCGTGGGCGGAAGCAGCTGGGCCAGCAAGCAGATTTGTCACCAGCCTGTTCTCGCCCCAGGAGAACTCCCACATGCTCTCATGCAGCAGGCAGCAGTGTGGGGAGCAGGATCCAGGCAGCAGCTAGAGGAAGATAGGGAGTGGCGGGGGTTGGCAGGGGTAATGGCTGATCCCCCAAAAAGAGAGAAAATGCAGTTGGTGTGTCACCTTCGTAAAAAGTTTGGAAACCACTGTGCGAGAGTTAGCAGTTTTAGGGCCAGATTCTGATTTTGGTTTCACATTTCACTAGTATAAATTTGGAGTAACTACACTGAAGCAACTGAGATCAAAAGAGCCCATATCCCCTCAAACCCCTTTTACAGATTTAAGCATTTAAAAAATTATATTTATGATCACTTATTCTCTTGTTTGACAGCTTATTTTTCACAGAGATTGAAGTAACTCTGAAAGCTTAAAAACAAACATATAATCTTACAGAGTCTGGACAAACTTCAACAGATTAACAGATAGTTCATTACACATACAAGGAGGTACTGTGTGTATTAAAAATAATACTGTGATAGATAAATGAGAAAAGACTCTAAAGTACTATATTGATGTTTACTGCCAGGTAAAGGGCTGATGGCATTTCTGTGTGGTGGTACCATGCCAAATCTTAAAATAACCAAGTCAGTGGTAAGGAACTTATTGGATCTGAAATCAACATTCACCATCATCATGTTAAGTTGGATGTCCTTATAGTACTTCCCTTGTTTTTATGGGCTTCCTTTCTGTCTGTCCTCATTCAGTTCTCAAGTTTCTGTCTCAATGCCGTTAGTGACTTGAAATTGGCATTTTGTTCTGTATTCATGACGATTGGCACAGTACTGTATGTTCAAATCTCTTGCTTAAATAATAGGGCAAAGTAACCTAAGCAATACCCTTTGGTCAGTCAATTTGAAAAAATTGGGGAAAAGAAAATAAGAGGCAGAGTAAGGGAGGTTGGGGCATTTGCAGGTGGGTGGTTTATAGGAAGATCTTGGGGTATCCTTCCCAAAACCAAACAACCAAAAGAAACCAACACTGTCCTCCAGGAGTATCCTTATGAGTCAGGTTCTCCTCTCCCAAAAGAGAAGAATATCACTCCCTCCACTTCCAAAATAAACCCATCTCTCCCCACACCCAAAATTTCATCCTTCACCCCCCTCCCAAATAATTCCATTTTTATCCCCACTAATTCCTCCTGTATCTCACCTCAGCTTCTCACCTCCCAAATCCTATGTTGACTCCCTCTTTGCTTACTGACCTGAAGCGTGGCTAGGTGTTAGAGGAGCTGCTAGGGTGGATTTCTGGCTAAAGAGAGATGCTGGCTGGCTCCAGGTAGCTGTTGTTGGGTTGGTAGGATCTGCTGGGCTAGGCAGACTGGAAAGAGGAAGGGAGAGTTCACCTACACCTCACCCTCTCCCCATTTGTTGCAAATTGGAAGGAGAAGCCGGTGCTGTAGGTCCAGAAGAGCTATCCTGGGGAAGGAAGAGGGACCTAACACTGCTAGTTCTCACGCTATCTAAAGCGGCGTTGGAAGAGCAAGGAGAAAGCTGGCACAGAATTGCAGCTGATGTCCATTGGTTGCAATGAGGCATGGCATCCAGCAAACGATGCTGTTAAATTCTCTCTGATGAGAGTCAGTGGCAGTCTGAGGCCTGGTCCACACTAAGCCCCCAGTTCGAACTAAGATACGCAACTTCAGCTACGTGAATAACGTAGCTGAAGTCGAAGTATCTTAGTTCGAACTTAAAAGTACTTACCGCAGGTCCACACGCAGCAGGCAGGCTCCCCCGTCGACTCCACCTACTCCTCTCGCAGAGCAGGATTACCGGTGTCGACGGCGAGCACTTCCGGGATCGATTTATCGTGTCTAGACAAGATGCGATAAATTGATCCCAGAAGATCGATTGCTGGCCGCCGAACCAGCGGGTAAGTATAGACGTACCCTGAGTCTGTCAGCTGGATCCTATATAAGCAGTTGCTTCGCACTCCCAGCCTGCATCAGCAGGACTGGGAGCAGATCGACATTCCAGATGATGAAAGGAAATGAGCAACCAGGCAAATGCCCTGTTGTCTGGTGGCCCAGTCCAGGCCTGTACTGAGTATGTGATTGTATTTTTTTTTAATGGAAGAATTATAAACAATACATTAACCACCTACAATGCACTCCCTCTCTTTTATCTTGTTCATTAATGTTAAAATATTGTTTTTGCCAAATGCTACTGCAAACCTGTTGCAGCATCTTCTTTTGTACATGGGCTACCAGTCTGCAGGGTCATCCTGTTCTGTTACAAAACCTTTGCCTCACCCAATCTCTATATCACTAGCAGTCACAAAGCAATCTAAGGCCTGATCTACATTGGGGGGGGGAGGAGGAGGAAATCGACCTAAGTTACGCAACTTCAGCTACGTGAATAACGTAGCTGAAGTCGATGTACTTAGACCTACTCACCGGAGTATCTTCACTACCGCTCCCCCGTCGACTCTGCCTGCGGCTCTCACAGCAGTGGAGTACAGGAGTCGACGGGAGAGC